ACAGTCTGTTGTGAATCCCTAACTTAAGCTAAGATAGTAATCAGAAGATCCTGTAGTTATTATGATTACTTTCACTTTGCAATTATAAAGACCGTTTAATTTAATTTGCAATTAATAAACTAGAGTAAAATAAGTACACATTTGACATAGATTTCATAAATAAATTATAAAAAGAAAGCTAAAATTATTTACGTAAAAAAAAATATGAGAATGTTAAATGTCTGCAAGTTGTACATTTTTTTTTTTAACATATTAGGTCTTTATAGATTGACAAAGAAGCTGTATCTACTAAATAATAATGTTTACATAAATTATGATATTGTTATTAATACTGTTACAGTTACTTACAATAACTATGGTAATTGATGGCCATATTTACAACGCTGTGGCATGGAAAATAATTTAGTAAGAAAAAGTAAGACCCGCATAATATAAATGAAACGTTAAATTAAATTATATTTATACAACCTTCACTAAAATAAATTATATCTAAATCTCGCCTAGTTATTAATTACTATTGTATATTCTGCATTGATTTAATTTATGCAAAATAGTTGCCATATTATTATACGATTATTTATAAATATTTGTGCAAAAACACGTATAAATCTAGTATTTTTTATCAAGCACCTTTTTAGCATGGTAAGGCACAAACTTCATAAGAATATATCAAGTTATGGGCTAAACACATAATTAAGTATACTTTACAGAGCCACAAAATAATATTATTGAATACCAGTTGCATTTACATGGATTGTATTATTGCTATTAATTCATTCTATGTTAAAAAAATCATTTTTCCAGTATAAAAAGGAAGACTGCATTACACCTTAAATAACTTACAAATAAAAAATAATTACATCATTATGTTAAATAGAATATAACTAAAACTAATTAATATAAATAGAAAACTAACTTTAATTATTATAAATCGTAAATGAACAAGAAATTTTGGAATGTAAAATAAGTTGGCAGTCTTTTTTATTGATGAAATGTACACAATATTTTTCTGAGAAAAGTTGACTGAGTTGTTAAAAACTTAATTTATATCGTAAATACATAACGGAGTCGAGTATTAAATTAAAATCTATTCAAGTTATAGTGTAACTATTTCTGGATAAAATAAGTCTACCATTTTAGTAATCACCTCTCCGTGGCATTTAATAAATTTATGGCAAATCATGGTTTTGTCCAGCATCTATAACATTTTAACTTCAGCTAAATTCATTGCCTTCATACAAGCTCTCACATACTTCCAGCAATCTTAGGACTGGCCCAATATTGTATGGGAAAAGAGACTTCGATACCAGTCTGCTGATTTGTAATCGTAGTCGAATCAACACTCTCATCGTGTCATCAAGTCCTCTTGAGCCACCTAGATCAGTTTGCTGGCACGTTTCAAGGAATTTAGGCCAGTTCCTCCTCACGTACTTTAAAAATCTGAGCAAATATAGCAAAAAGCATGTTTCATTGCTCACCAGGTAATCCAGTAAGACATCACTGTCATGGGAAACCACTTTTAGGAATTCTATGAATGAAGCAATCGGATTCAACATTGGAATGAGGTCTGGATACATAGAATTTCTGTATACAATACCAACAGTTATGTCCAGTGTGCATACCATGGATTCAATCAGATAGTCATCCTGTTCACTGAAAAGATGTATTAACATTTTTGTAAACGGTGTTTCTGGGTGGAACTCTAGGCTGTTTCTAATAAAAACATCAAGCTTTTTCAACACATCTCTGATGGATCGTTCCACGATCTGCATGTCTTGTATCGCGTTATAATCTGACGAATCAATAGAACTGTCAGAGGAATCGCAACGCATTTCTTTCACAGTTACAGCAACCGACTTGAGTACTAGCAGAGACATTCTTTGCAACATTGTCTTGTCCACTTCACTTCTTGTGTGATTTGAATGATCATTTTCGTCCTCACCATAACTTTGATCGACCAATTGAATTGTGGTGGACAATGGGCTTACTGCGGGCCCTAAAGAATAGTTACGGATTACTGTGCATTCAGGACCTAAGAAACCAAGGCCACTTCTGCTGTTTTGTACTCGCACATCGTTTAGCAGCCTAAAATCCTTGACAAATCTTACTATAGAGTGAGCTAGACAGCAAATCTCCTCAGGCAAGATATCTTGTAAAGCCAAAGTGGAACCATAACATAAAACTTCATTGAATAAACTAAGCAAATGAGTATAAATGAGACTTGGCAGCATTGTATTTCGTAGTAAGTCCACAAAACCTTGCAAGTCAGCATAGAAAGGTTTCGTGTCTATAACGGAGAGATTCGCTTTCACACTAATTATGTTCTCCCACAGAGAGAAAAATGTAAGTATACAGTTTTCAGCATTTGCTAAATTCAGGTACCTCAGGAGTAGCAGTTTCATGTTTTTCACCAGGACTGGCCAATGGTGTTCTAACGTTTTAATTGTTAGGCATTTTATGTGTGATGTGTCAAAGGATTCTGAATCAGTGAGGATGACAGTGACACAACCATTTTCACTTACCCTTTCTATCCTCGACTGTGGTGGTTCAGGGGATATTGACTCCTCCAAGTCATTTGTAAGCGGTTCAGAGTGCAATTTTAATACTGGCTCATGCAATTTGAATGTTGTTGGTCTCTCTTCTGTTGGTTTATCATCTGATGATGTTGATGAAGTGGAAGGGGCATTATGTGTTTGCAAATTAGAAAAGGCATTGTGTAAGTTATTACTCTGTGTGGTTGAGGATGGCAATTCTGAACTACTGCTGCTCGTGCCATATCCCACACTACTCCTGAAAGGGTTATCTTCTTGGACCTGCAAGGTTCCAGCTGAGTTTATGTAATTACTGTCTTCTAGAGGATGTTGCTCAACATCCTTCCATTCAACTATCCTCTTGATAATGTCAAGACTGAAATTTATTTTTTGTACTGTTATCCTGTTGATTCTATCAAACAGGTAAATATTCTCAGCTATTTGCTGAAGCCAGTTCTCATCTACTGTATCCTTTGAAACAATAAGAAAGCTGGCGAGAACCCTGCTCGCCACAAAAGTGACGATCTTACTCTTATGATCAGCCAATTCAACAACTTCGGTAATCCAATCATGCCTGTTCCTGACGAAGATATCACACGCCTGCATTACCTTTGAGCAAATAGTACCAGTACTGTTTTGTTTCAAATAAATATCGAACATCAGCTGCATTGTGGATAAATATGTTAACGAACAAGTCAACGGCCAAGAAACTATATTGAGTTGTCTATCAAAGAGTTGAATAACTGTGTTGTCATCAAAACTACACAAACATTGTCCAACAAGAGCATCCTGGAGTACCCTGAGCTCGGAGAGCAGCTTGTCATCCTCTGAATTCCAATGCGGTGTGGAATTTGAGCAGGAGGGTATTATGTCTATGCTGGAATCGTTAGGTAGCCTCAAGATGGCCGAGCAGTCAACTGCATCCTCACTCACAGTCCCGCTGTCTGGTGATCCGCCGTTGCGTGTGGGAAACTCTTCCGACGTTTCGGCGGGAGTCTCCGAGTCAAATATCTCCGTGAGCACATCCTCAGCGGACTTGTCGCTGCCTTCGTCGATATCGGGCGCATCGATTCGCTGTTTCTTCTTCACGGGTTGATCAGAAGCCATACCTTCATTTGCTGGTCCACAGTGCAAGTGTCCTCTCCAAACCATTAACTTGCTCTTGCAAACACTCCCAGGTATGTCTCACTCGTTATTTTCCCATAAACAAACGGTCTTTTACGTCGCCACAGCCGTTCTGGAAAGAATAAAGCTAATATGAATGCATGACCTTTCCGATCAGCTACCTAATTACGCGGACGACAAAGCCTTCGAATAATTCATGTAATACGACATTCCACGTTACATTTTACGTTAAAAACGTTTGAATTAACGCCTAAACTAGATTATTTCAGTCAAATAACGTGGTATTTGTGCCAGTATTACAGATTTATGAAGAACTTTCCAAAATATTTTGATGGCATACATACCAGTAACAGAACGAGGTTGTTTATGCACTTTATTTTGTATAAGGTATCCATAAATTTCTTCAGATCAATCACTGCAATCCAATTGAGCACAATAACACACAGTTTTAGGTAATAATTAGTCAAAATTCGATATTTATTTCACTGAACGAAAGATCATCGCCTCCATTACGTACATGACGCTCTGTCAAATGATGTACTTTTTGCATTGGAATTTACGTGCTATCACACAAAATAATAGATGATTGTCATATTAAGCGTTATGATAATTAGTATCTAAAAATAATAATATACCCAGATTCAAAAAAATATATAATTGTGCTCAGAATATAATATTCTAATTAATAGTTTTCTAACTGATTCCTTTCCTACTAGTACTACCGTTTCCGGTAAAGACGTTGCCAGTCAGACGACTTCCGAATTTAGCAATTTTATTTCGATAGCAGTGTATTTTTTTGGGATAGGTATTTCAAATGAGATGATTTATCAAATGAATATAATAAAGAAAGAAAAATTGTATTTGTGTATTAATTCTACCAGTAATACTACTGATTTCTTGGATTAAAGCTAAAATGAAAATAGTTGTTTAAAAATAAAAATACTAAAAATGATTGGAATATTTCAAAAAATTTTAAAATTGAAAACACTTCAAAAACATTTGAAATTTTTAACTCGAGTTATGAGAGGTTTATGGCCAAATCTACCTTTAAAATTATTAATATTTATTTATTTGGTAATTTTATTACCTAATTATTTCTTATGGCAGCACTGTCAGTGTTCCCCTCCCCCGCCAAGTAAAAATGTCTGCTCCGAAAGACTCGAAAATTAAGTTTTGTAGAAAGAAATACTATTTGTAGTTAAAATCAATTAATTATACTGCTCTAAACAGGTGAATATATATTTAATGTGTGTGTGATAAGTGCGTCAAGTATTCAACGATGAGTCACCTCAGTGTTTTTGCATAACAATCGATAGAAAAATTTAGGTTAAGATCTTTGGTATTGTATTTGGAACAATTTAATATTAACTGGAGCCGTAAACCCTGGAGTGGGTGGTATTTTCGTCTCACGCAAGTACATGTTATTGTTTATTTATAGTTTCGATACGGAAACGCATCGATATGTCATTGGGTCTCATAGTTTTTTTTGGTGTGAAAATATAAGTTCAGTCTTGGGCTTGCGAAAGCATCGCCTCGATACTGGAGTATTGAATGACACCCGCAACCTTGTGCAGAACGAATAGAAAGCAAATTGTCGCTATTTCAATCGTTAGACAATAGAGAAATTGTTAAATTTCCTGTTTGCGACGGTCTAAGGTCGACTAGGCCTTACGATCAGTCGATTTTGGGTTTACCTTATCTTCAGTCACCATTTATTTACACTTATTTTCCTATAAATTACAAGGTGCGTCAATACCCGTAATTTCTTAGTCCATTTCACTAAGCCTTGTTAGTTATCTCAGACCCTATTGTTAATGATTGCAATTAAAGTATTATTATCATCACTTAAACGGTAATTAAGGCGTCGAAAGACATGTTCTAATGTTTACGTGCGCATTTTTTGCATTCACATAATTTACACAATATATATGAGAGAGTATACTGTTATTTTCAATTAACCCATTTAGACCGATAATTATTTTTGTAAATAAATATCGTTTTTTCAGTAAAAACTTACAAAGGGAAGTCTAAAAATCATGAAAAAAATATTGAAAAAAATAATCCATAAATAGGGGGCCAAGGGGAGCCCGTACCATATAGGGTACAGTAGGTCTATAAGCAAGCAAAACATAGTCGTTGTTCAAAGAACATTTTTATTTATTTTTGTATGATATACAATAAAAATAAAATCACATGATCACTAGTATCACACTTGACATATCTTGTAAGACGTTTTCTGTGATACTAACCACATTTGGTTCTTTTTTCCTACCTTCTCCTAAGTTAGTGAGGATAGCTGAAGAAGACCTGGCTTCTTCTGATTTGTTACGTTTAGTGCTATCCTTAATCGCATTTAGCAACACGATGATGGAAATTTAGCAAATCCATCGAAGAAAACTCTGAGGGTTATTATTTACATTGACACTATCTTTATCGCCTAAATCTTCGTCAATCTGATCATCATTAGCGGTCATCTGATAAGACAGCAGTAGAAAAATACCAAGACTGCTTTATGTTTGCTGAAATTATCAAATTTTTCATGAGTTGTGGCAATATAGTGAAGCATCAATAGCCTAAAACAAATAAAAATAATAAATATTAATTATATTTTTTCGCATGACTTGCTCATGCATAGACCTACTGTACCTTATACGGTACACCTATTTTAGACTGGAATAAACCGTATAAAAATAATCTGAATAATATTTTTTTTGTAGTCATGATATCTATTGTACTCTATTTTTAAAATAAAATTGATAAATAACATAATTTACCATGAGTAATAAGAAATTATACCTTCTTAAATACATTGTAAATATATTTTTAGTTTTCTGTCGAGGAATTTCATAAATAGTTCCGAAACCACTTGTTAAAACATATTTTAAAATATTTTTATGTAAAATAATCACTTTAAGCTTACCGTCACAATCATTTTTACAAATTAACAACAGTTTGGTACTTCGAAATATTTTCAAAAAGATACCGTACCACATAGGGTACGGTAGGGCTAAATGGGTTAAAAAGACAGCAAAAACCATCAGTAGTGCTGTATTGCTGATAGAAGGCTAGGCCTCATCAAGTTTTTGAAAGCACTTAATTAAGTAATGATTTCTTAATTGAAAATTATCGCAATCAATTAGGAAAAAGAAATATGATTGTCTATTATTCATCCCATGAACTCACATGAGTCATATTCTCACCAAACCTCTCTATTTTTTTTTATAATGCCTTTCATGTATTATTTCTTATTCCATCAGCTAGTATTTAATTGGTGAACATAGTCCTCTCCCAATGATAAGAATTGTGAATAAATAAATTGACGAATCAGATGATTATCTAATTGCTACTGCTTTGTAAACAACAGGTATTGTCAATGTTAAACACAATTTCTGTTGTTAATTAAAATGCAACTGATTTTTAATTTCATGGGGTATTTTTATTGGGGTACTTTTGCCCTGGAATTTGACTAAAACCAAATTTCTTATATGAATCTTCTTTAACAAAAACAGCATTTGAATAGCTTTTATACTTTTTAAAAACACTATGTATTAGACAAATGTAATTCTAAACATAGGATATATTAGGTAATTCAGTTTCTTTTTTAATTTAAGAATGTCACACTAACTGTACCCTCTTTGCACTCCTTGGACCCGTTTCTGGCTTCTGTCCCTACTCTTTCATCATAACCTAAGGTGTAACTGTATAATCTTTAACATTATTTTCTTTCTTTCAGATATTAAAATCGACAATGGAACATGAATTGGTGACGGTCACAATAAAAAAGTGAATGCCTTAAAATTTTAAACGTAGATTTTTTACGAGAATCTCATAGGACTAATAGTGTAGTGTACAGGACATGTGCGGTCCAAAAGTCCATTGACATTGTAGTGTGAACGAAGCTACGCAGCGGAGCCAGAATGTCTGACGACGAGGACTCGTCCCCTGACCGGGCGTTGGTCCCGATAAACAATGTTCCTGGTAAGTTATTTATTAACAAATAGAAATATTTAATAGTGAAATAAACTTCCTTCTCCTATCAACGAGGAATGTATAAAAATAAACTGTTTTGTAGAAGATATTTTTGTCAAGGTCAATCAGTTTATATTGGCTGTGACACATAAAAAATATAAACAAATAACATATTATTTTTATGAGGAAAAATTTTTATCATCTTTTCTAATTTGAAAAAATAACCAGTTTATTTTTAGTCAGGTGTTGTGATCCAATTGCTATGTGAAAATGGAAATCTTAATTGATGAGAAGCTATACCTAGTTCTTTATTAACATGCATGGTTACTGTTATCAACTCATAGAATAAGCATATTACAGAAGAAAGCTCAAAACTAGGTCAATGAAGAATGTTCACTAATTTTGTTTTTTAACTTTCTGTATTCTCTGTTAAAAATAAAAAATACACGTGAAAGAATTATTTCGATACGTTAATTAGTTTCCAAGATATTGAATTTTAAAAGTGCGGGCGGCGGCCGGCCCGCCATTTTATGCGCGTGACGTCATATTACAACGACTGGCTCATATTTGTATGGGTGGAATCTTGCAAACTGAATTAAGACCCACTTCCAGGCAACCGATTAAGCTGACATTTCGCAAACACATGTGATTTGGATGACCATGCAATATTATGATGACATGGAGCTGATCTGATGATGGAGCTGGAAGGTGGCCATAGGAACTCTATAATAAAACGACTTAAATGCATCGAGTTTGGGCTCGTTCGTTTTGTATTGATGAGTATTTTAATTCTATATAGTAATCGGGGTCTAATGATGGAGCTGGAAGGTAATTCGCAATAAAACGACACAATCGCATCAAGTTTGGGTTTGGTTCAATTTTAATTTCTGTGATGGGTCTGGGTGTTAATATGTATAATAAGTTTGTATTTACAAAAAAAATATATTTGAGTATGTTTATATCCGTTTTCTAGTGAGCGGACGCTGTGAATGTACGTCACACGGGGTCACGTGACCGTCGGCGGGACTCAATATTTAAGCGAACTTTGAATGCCTATAAAATCATAACTACTGGGTATTTTTGAATGAAATAAAAACTAATGTATTTGTAAATGTAAAAGTTTAACTGTAACATAGGTTTCAAGTGATTTTGCATACCTAGTAACATTCTCAATTTCAAGCACTGTTTTTGATTAGTACAATTTCAATTCAATATTTAAACAAGTCTTGAATCACATTGAAAAGAGTTTTAAGCATTTTATCAGATTGAAAAGAGTTTTGTTAGTATTTTGCCATAATAAGAACAAAAGTAAGTCATAATAGTAAGATCCTTGAAGAATCCATGTGAATAGATAGTGAACCAATTAAGGCACCTTTGTTCAAAACTATGTTACTAATTGAAAGAATGGTTGATTATGCCTACAATTTGCACCTAAACTGGCTCAAGGCTGCCTTATTAGTGTAATTAACGGGCAATAAATCGCACCTATTAATTATCATTATTAGAATATTAGGATGTTATGACTTATGACACAGTGCCATATTAAGTGACAGTAAGTCAGTCAGTAAGGACCTCTGCTAAACGCAGGCGCCCGCACGCGGTCAGTCAGTATCGAAAATGATTTGTGCTCGTCGCGAGTTTTAGCGGAGGTCCTAAGATATCCATGTAGGTTTATTGCAAATTAAAGAGTAATATTTATCATCATGTAATATGTACTGCCTGCAGGCAGGAGCACCCAATCTATTTTACCAGAGGCAGGTGGAGATTTTGGCCCAAAGTTTCCACTCTGGCCAGACGAATTAGAGAGGCCTGATGTTCGCGTTTTTGCCCCTTGCTCGCCTTTTACGACGTCTACGGGAAAACTGAATGTTTAATTCGATTATTATGACTGTAGATTCTACCATATTGTCTTGTAAATTTTATTATTCATGTTTTATACGTAAAAGAAAAAAACAATCACAAAAAGAACGTAAATCTATATTCGATGAATCAAGATTATGTCAGTTAAATCTGAATTACTTGTTGTTTATACTTTATCTATTAAATGCATTGCAATTTGTAATCGCTATGATAAAGAAAATCATTCAAAGATAATGCACGTACAGATTAGAAGTCGTGAAGTACGTACATGACAACTTGACAGAAGTTCTTGAGTGGCGACCACCGTTTCCCTATGAAACGTAGCGTAGGTAGGCCTCCGACTCTGATGATGAGGGTCGCGGTATACGCCCGATTGCAGTCAGCGTGGGACTCTATAGACATTCTCTTTGGACTCTTCTGTCACAGTGGAAATCTTTAAGCTTCAACCACACCAACGCGTGCAGACCGCCATCGCCGGCGCAATCAACGACCAATGACAGGTCGCGCGACCCATGACAGTTCACCCGACCTGTCATTTTCCTATGATCGCGCTGGAGATGGCGATCTTCACGCGTTGGTGTGGTTGAAGCATTAGGGGATTAGGGGAGCCTTTGTCCAGCAGTGGATGACACTTGGTTAAGACAACATAGGCTAAGAACTCACGGCGCGATTATTTTCACCCGCGTCCGCAGCGGTTGCGGGCCCGCAGCTTCTGTAGAATGTAGATACTTATGTAAAAAACTAATGCACAACTCACGACGCGGTTTTCCACCATTTTGTACCAGTGACTTGATCGGCGCGATTTTCACCCGCGCCCGCGGTGAAAATCGCGCCATGAGTTCTTAGCCTAACCGCGCAAATAACCGCTCCCGTGAGTTTTGAAATAAAACCGCCAATTCCACAACCGCCGCGGGCGCGGGTGAAAATCGCGCCGTGAGTTTTGAGCCATAGAGTTACTACCGCTCGTCTGCACTGTGGCACGGCACCATTACAAATTTACATCGCGGCTACGATATGCACCACATGCTGTGTTATTGTCCTACGTCTATAGGATATCCTCTTTATTTTAGCCACAGTTTCCTGTTTATTGTTTCTGTCGAACAAGTGGCGGCTACAATGAAATTATTTGCGATTCGCACCGATTTCGATCGAGTGCGACGCTAATGGTTTTTTTTTGTAATTAGGAACTACATATTTGTCTGCAATTAAACTGGTTACATCGAATACAATGTATTATTTATAACTTTCTGTGACGTAATGTATTGTACCTACTAATAGATAATTCCAAATACATCCTCGTGTTTACGCTAATCTTTTCCACTCGCAGGATTCGAGGAGCTTGTTTTTTTGTCCAGTACAAGAGCTATTAGATCAAACCTTATGGTTATGAACATAGGTCGCTTACAATCTTTTTTTACCAAGCTTTGCAAAAAAGGTCATCGCACTTTGTATTTAATATGCACTTACATGGACAGTTAAATTGCTTAATTCGAAGCAATTTTGTCAAATTGATGTCATATATTATGTCACAAAGAGTTAGTTATAAATTGCTCTATTAATTGCCACAGATTGATCTGGATTCTTAGAGTAATAAACGATCGGTTACCGAATCGATTACGAGATCTTTTCTGTCTAATTTGAATACAAAATTATCTACATAACGCTTTAATAAATTCGTCATATAACGCGATTTATACATAAGATAAGTATAAAAATAAACGCAGAGTCAGATGTAGGGACGACACAGTTTTCAAGTCACTGGAGAACTGAAAGCCTGTAGTCATTGAACCGGAAAGTTTAGAAAACTAGACTCTCGCTATAGTTTGCTGAAGTTCTATCGAGACCTATGTCTAGCGCATAACTCAGTGCCTGAGTTATGGGAGCGTTCTGTCGTGCAATCGTTTGTCGAGCCTAAGTAACGTCGCGCTAGGGTTTGTCGCTCCAAAGTCTCGTGTTTTCGTTTGTCGCCCCCATCTTTCTGTCGCGCTAACGTTCAATACTTTATTGCTTCACCACATTACAATTTAAGCAGATCAATGTGGACCCAGTTAGGGCACAGCAACCTTTGGAAGGAGGCAGTTTGTTCGTCGAGCTAATGTGCAGTCGCGTCATTGATTGTTGGCATAACGTACTGCCGCCACTACGTTTGTAGCACCTTTGTTTGTCGCAACTATGATATACACTCGGGAGCGAGTGGCACGGGTGGGTGTTTTTTGTTACGTCAAATGTCAGCGAGACTTCAGATTTGTATGCTCTGTCACGTCATAATGTCAAAAGGGGTGGGATCCTGTTATCTTTTCCAGCTGCTCGGAATACCACAACGCGTCTCTAGATTTGTGGTCTTTCTTTTTTTCTTTGCGGCACGGGATATCCTCCCTTTTGCTAGGTCAAATGTCAAAGAGACTTCAGATTTGTATGTTCTGTAACGTTGTAATATGTCAAAAAGGGTGGCGAAGGGTTCTTCCGTGCCGCTCCTATTCCTCAAGCACTGACAGTTTAGCGCTAGACCTTGTCTTTTCCAGCGGATCTGTTCGGAATATCACAACACGTCTCTAGTTTTGTGGACTTTTTGTCTCGAAATATTTTTTAATCCTTCAAGGCCCGCGAATCTAGACACAATAGATAATCAATTGTTATGGCATTAATGTATGCCGTCTGGGACTTTAAAGGTTAATTGACTGAGTATAAAATAATATGTTAATTGGAATGACATGTACGAGTTAACTATTTTATTGACTGTTTATCCAATGACTAATGGTTACAGGAAGTTATTTCATTAAAATATTGTATTGTTTTTAATCGTGCCTAATCATTATGTCACGAAGTGTAAAACTGAATTATTTCTACTATATTTATTTATTAATGGCCTTGCTCTTGACCCAAATACAACTGGTATTTCGTAACTGGTTACAAACAATAATGTTATCTAGGATGTAGATTTATAGCACTAAGCTTTAACTGAATTGCAATTTAATTGCATTACATGTCGTAAAAATCGCCTTTTGCTAACTATTAACGAATATGCAAACATCAGGCCTCCTCCACCCGTCTGGTGTGCGAATCCTAAATTCGCCTCTAGTAAATTAGATAAAGTTTCCTCCTGGTTACAGTGGAGCGACACATAGGAAGCGAGTGAAACAGGGGACGGGAGCCATGCATCTTATGTCTATCGTTCGTTTCAGCCAAATGACGTCCACTGCTGGACAAAGGCCTCCTCCAAGGTTTTCCACAATGCACGTTCCTGCGCTGCCCGCATCCAGGCTCTTCCCGCGACCTTTACCAGATCGTCGGTCCACCTAGTAGGAGGCCTGCCCACGCTACGTCTTCTAGCCCGTGGTCGCCACTTGAGAACTTTTCTGCCCTATGTCTATAGCTAGGTACTATTTATGTGGGCAGGAGTAGAATAATTCCCACCCATCCCATGAGTGATGTATGTACGAGGGCGGCACTGAAAATTTCGGGAATCAAGGAAGTGAAACAACATTACTATTTAAAAATGTATATATTGCTTTTTAAAGTATTCTCCGCGAAATTTGACACATTTTTCCATACACGAAACCAATCATTGAAGCAACCATTGCATTCGGAAGTTTGGGTCTCCAAAATGGCCGTTTTGTAGGCTTCCACAGCTTCTTCAGGTGATGAAAATCTCTGACCACGCAATTTATTCTTTATTTTAGGGAAAGTATAGAAATCATTAGGGCTTAGGTCGGGGCTGTACGGCGGATGGACTAATAATTCTATGTTTTCTTGCTCTAAAAACTCTTTTGTTCAGTGCGCGGTGTGAGAACTCGCATTGTCGTGATGGAGGATGATGCGGCGGTTGCAGTTCTCTTTACGGAGTTCAGAAACGACCTGTGGCAAACAAATGCTAGCATACTAATCTGCATTAACCGTTCTTTGTCCCCCAAGAGGAATAGTCGCAACATGGCCGGTTTTGGAGACAAACGTGGCCACCATTTTTTTTGCAACACTCCGTGAACGAACAATTTTTGTTGGCTTTAATTCATTTTCGAACACCCAAACTCGTGACTGGTTTTTTGTTTCGGGTTCGTACGCGTATATCCATGATTCGTCACCTGATACGATGTTGTATACAGCATTTGAGGATCCTGCATGTAATCTCCCGAGAGTTCTGACGCACCAAGTAACGCGAGCCGCTTTTTGCTCTTCACAGAGCGAATGCGGTATCCATCGGGAAAACAACTTTTTTACACCTAATTGTTCATGCAAGATTATTTGTATTTGACTCATGCCAATGTCTAAAGTTGCCTGAATTTCGCGGTATATCACATGTCGATCTTCTTCAATCAGCTTACGCACAGCATCAACGTTTTCTTAGGTGACTGCAGTTTTTGGACGACCTTGACGGGGATCATCACTGAGCTTGACACGTCCACGTTGAAATTCAGCAAACCAGCGATAAATTGTGGTTTTGGATGGGGCTTCATTACCAAATGCAGAAATCATCCGGTCAACACACTGTTTTTGTGTTAAACCACTTCAAAAGTCATAATAAACATCGCTCTTGAATTTTCTCGAGTCAATTCCATTTTCTCAACGACTAAACAAGTTTGACAAGACCTTGTGATACGACCGAGAATCTTTTTTTAAATAAATAAATGGTATACGATTTTTAAAACCCTGGAGTTTGCAATTAAATAGATTTTAATATGACTGGAACAGTGGAAATATTCCATTCCCGATACTTTTAGTGCAGCCCTCGTAAGTGGGAGTAGTATCACTCCCACTCTTCCCGTAGATATCGTAACAGACAAATATGCGAACATTTGTAACATATTAGGAATTATTCTTGCGTAGAGTAACCCATATTGTTTTTTTCAGTGCTGGGAATCAAGCGTCTCAAGCAGATCGAGACAATGTTCGTGTCTCGACGCGCTACCGGCCGTTCCGCCGGTCTCAGCGTGGAGACTCTTTTAGACGTCCTGCTCGTACTGTATGACGAATGCTGCAACAGCAGTCTGCGCAGAGAGAAGGCCGTCGCCGACTTCATACACTACAGTGAGTCCTATGTCGGTAGCAATAGAGTCCAGTGTCCCGCGCCGCCGGTCTCAGCGTGGAGACTCTTCTAGACGTCCTGCTCGTACTATATGACGAATGCTGCAACAGCAGTCTGCGCCGAGAGAAGGCCGTCGCCGACTTCATACACTACAGTGAGTTTTATGCCATTGTAATAGAGTCCAGTGTCCCGCGCCGCTGGTCTCAGCGTGGAGACTCTTTTAGACGTCCTGCTCGTACTGTATGACGAATGCTGCAACAGCAGTCTGCGCAGAGAGAAGGCCGTCGCCGACTTCATACACTACAGTGAGTCCTATGCCAGTAGTATTAGAGTCCAGTGTCCCGCGCCGCCGGTCTCAGCGTGGAGACTACTGGACGTCCTGCTCGTACTATATGACGAATGCTGCAACAGCAGTCGCCGCAAAGAGAAGGCCGTCGCCGACTTCATACACTACAGTGAGTCCTATGCCGGTAGTAATAGAGTCCAGTGTCCCGCGCCGCCGGTCTCAGCTTGTAGACTACTGGACGTCCTGCTCGTGTTATATCAGGCCTGTTCATCTCCGCGAGTTTACATTGAAAACCAAAACACGCACGATGGCCCACCTACAGGATACTATTCGACAAGGCCTCACATACGAGCGAACATTGACTCACGCACGCGTATTCTTGTGTATGATGGAAGAAAATAAAGAAAATGGTGTACTAAATACTGTGCAGTATTTAACTGCCTAAATAATAATAAAAACCTCAGATCATAGAAGGGAATAGATGTGAAACGGGGGCGTGGCGCGTGTCTCCGCGATATGCCCAGAAACGAACATCGGCCGCGACGCCAGGTTAGTCGCGATTCAGTCGTACTGAGGAAATGTTCTCCGATATTGTTGGATAATGCGTCGTAACGTGCAATAACATAAGTGAAACGAAGAACTACAGGAACAATGAAGTCATTTACCACANGCATCTGCAGATGACGCTATTGAGGCAGGTCTCGAAACTCTCGAACATTCTATTGTGTTAATCATTGATATTATTATGATGAAATACCTTCAATGTATTTATTACGTCATAATAAATGAATTATTGATATTATTTCGAGGACTTTACTTACAAGAAACTAAATAAAACCTGAAACAAAAAGTTTCTGGAGCGACATAGCTGCTTTACTTCGTTCAACTACTCCTCAACAGATGGCGCTACAATGCTTAAAGTTTTATATCCCGCGGTTATTTTTTATCGCTCTTTATTTTTGACTTAATTTTTTTATTCGCTTCAATGTGAAAAATCACTGAATGTTTAATAAAATTTATATTTAAAAAAAACAGTTGCATGACTTACAATTTCAATCATCCAACTTTGTATTTTTCATTCGATAAATCGCTACGTCTTAATTTGTTGATTTATCTTATTACTGGGCTAATGTAACTTTTGAGTTATTATACCTACTTATCGTAAAACAAGTATTTTTTGGACTTGTGACGCTGTTGAAAATACGAGTAACCTAATCAATAAAGACAACAAACTTGTTACATCACACAACCAGTCACGAAAGTCTTGAAGGTCGTGCGGACATCATAAGAATTATCTATGTTTACTTTCCATACTTACTTACACGTTATTCTAGTTAGAATCGGTACCTACCTCGAGCGTCTCTCCTTCATCCCTTACTGCCTACCTAATTAACTATTAATAGTCATGTAAATCAATATTGTATCTAGATAAGTACTAGCATAGTATAGGACTAGTATTAAATTATCTGAGGTATAGATAACTAGCGGCTGCCCGCGACTTCGTACGCGTGGATCACGTTTTACCCCCTTAGGGGTGGAGTTTCGTAAAATCCTTTCTTAGTATGTTTCTTAGGGATGCCTACGTCATAACATCTACCTGCATGCCAAATTTCAGCCCGATCCGTCCAGTGGTTTGGGCTGTGCGTTGATAGATCACTATGTCAGTCAATCAGGCAGTCACCTTTGTTATTGTTATATTTTTTAGATTTAGTTATCGAGTGAGTATTGGTAATAGTTTGGCTGTTTGGTTTTAGAGACTTTGGTATTGTGTACCCTTGTGTTGTGCATCACAAACAAATCGACTGTCAAAATATCATAGGAAAAAATATTTACTTCCTATTAGCGAGCGCTAGAGCCTTATTATGATGTTCATTGTCAATGGTAATCGGCCATTACGTCTTACATTTCTACTTAGATACGGTTCCAGCAGTAACTTGGCTTATTCCACTATTCCCCGTTAACGCTAAATTGGAGCTTTTATTGGGAAATAATGAATTAATTCCCGTTAGATAAGGATTTTATTTTTAAAGTAATGGGGATTAATGAACTTTTTAGTGGAATAAGGCAAATAATGGCTTTTGTGCCGGAAAATTTTCATGACGTTTTCTCCAATTGGAAGCAACTTTACCATGGGTTTGATTTGGCCTTAAATTTTCATCATTCAATATAAAGCATCACGAATGATTCAAGATGTACCAGTGACAGATAGCGTCGGGTTCGCGCAAGTGCAATGGCCGAGTGTCCTGTAGGACTTATCGATTTGATGCATTTCACCTTCACACTGGCAAAGGATATGTATGTATGATTTATTGCGCTAGCTACAGGCAGGGTATGCACACATCCGCACTGTACAACCATGAATTAAGCACGATGAAGCTGTGGATACGCTATTCTGATATTTTAATATTGTAGAATAATAGCGCGAGATTTAAGTTAATTTTCCTAAATAAAAAAATGTAGGGATTTTTTTAAACAAAAGATGGACAAAATCAATGAGTGACTCATTTATCAATATTGAATTTTTATATTTTTTTCCATGGCAAAAATGTCTTATAATTTTTTACTTCCCGGTGCTAACTCGTGTGTGTGTTCGTTGTAGAGAGCTACGAGCCTACGAGCTTACAGTGCTTTGTTTAGGAGTTAAAAGATGATGATGTGGCCAAAAGTCATTGAGACAAGTAAATGAAAATTATGAACCCTCAGCAGGACAATAATAATGAATAAAGTGATAAGACGTCAACCAAAGATATCAGTTTTGTGGACTATGCTAGTTAGGCATAAAGGTAGAAAGTACAAATCGGCATTATTAGGTATCTCAAGTCCTATTTTACGGGCTCCATGTATTTGTAGGTACCTAATAGTAGTACGAGAGCTCACGACCAAAATTTTTGTCTTATAGCAATACGGACAAAACCGCATCAAATCTATAGANGTCGTAGACTCTCAGTCGCTTTGTTTTTACACAGTTGAATGTGTGTGTGGGAGCTGTGGTGGGGGAAATGTGGGGACACTGGTTCTCGTTGTAGTTACGCGCGACTTCATATCTATTCTCTTTCTATGATCTGAGATAAAAACACAGAATGTACTTTTTTAAGTTGCCTCAAGACACTGAGAGGTAAATAAGTAGTTAATATTATTCATGATAATTCATGCAAAATCTGTATTTCCTTCGCCATTTTCCGCAGTTTGGCACCTCACGTCACATCATTTTACCGAAGTCAGCCCTATAGCTTCGGCGCAGTACCGATCACTGACGTTTGTCAACAAAATGGTGCTTGACTCTTGAGACAAGCGAAATTACACCATATTGTTAATGACATTGAGCATATTTTTTTTAAATACCTTCGCGAAGTAAAACTTCTGTACGTAGTACTTATTATTATTCTGTGGTAATATAGCCAGTTCCCCTGTAGTTGAGGAACCCGAGTGAAGCTTGCATTCACCAGGTTTCCAACAGGTGAGATGTAAGTCAAGAGCTTCCTTGTTGTGGATAAAAAGAAAGTTAAAACGAGAGGTGGGAATAGTCTCTTATCGTTAGCATACTCATATACATTCCCTAAATAGTTCCGTACTGTCTATTTATACACTTTCCTTGTCTATGTTTCTTATGTTAACTTTTTTTGCAGTAAAACCGGTGGCGACGGCTTTGAAGAGGTTCCGACTGTCAAGGGACGACTTCGAGCTGGTGAAGGTCATAGGACGTGGTGCCTTTGGAGAGGTGTGCGTCGTGAGGGCATCTTTTATGCAGGTATGTTTTGAACTTACTATTATAATTCATTTAACCTTTCGTATGCCTAAGCGCTGATCAGGATGAGACAATGACTTTCACATTGTTGTCTGCAAACCCGGGATACGATCAGTTGATATCCACTACGTGAGGACGACTTTTTTTTTATGCAAAATAAGGCAGGTATTTGACCACAATCGCACCTGATGTTAAGTGGGATGCAGTCTAGGATGGTACATATCTGCCCTGTAAGTGCCTATTCACTCTCGCCTTGAAAAGGCCCGGATTATAGTTTTCGGGAAAGACAGCAGCAGGCAACGAATTCCAGTTCCTAGCTGTTCGCATTATAAATGAGTCATCGAAACGCTTAGTGCGAGCTGGTGGAATGTCAACAATATAGGGATGGTACGCTAACCTGCGTCTGGTTCCCCCATTATGACTGTCTCTAAATTGCCAGAGGAGGCTTGATGTTCATTTCTTAGCCTGACCAGATGGACTGGGGAGGCCTGATGTTTGCATATTTTCCCTAAGTCGTCTCTTAAAGGATATACGCCTGTGTAAGGTAGTGTCGAAGTAAAGTCATGTAGATATTCAGTAGTGTCGGAGTAACGTAATGTCGAAGTAACGTTTGTCGGAGTTTATTTAGGTAGCCATTCTACATTGCTGGTACCACAGGGTTATTTTCTTTTTTTTACGTCAGCAAGTGCTTTGCGCATATGCTGAGCGATGGGGACAGCCAGTGGATTATGTGGGACTCTCCCTGCTAGATAGAGTCTATCTACTAAAGCACGATGGTGTCTTCCGGAGCCCAATGAAACGACCACGAGAACCTCCCTTCATAACATGTAGTCATATTATTCTATGTACCACTCAGGGCACAGATGGCGGCGCTAACCTGGCAGCTGCGACTGGCGGCACGGTGTCCACCACCACCGGAGAACGAGTCTATGCTATGAAGATCCTCAACAAATGGGAGATGCTCAAGGTAAGCTATTATTGTTATTTTATCAACCTTTTAATTTTCCCCCGGGACAAACTTGAACTTGACTGGTTGGGTTTCTATTGGCGGTCAAGCTGTAGATCCTGGCTACACAGGAGATGCAGCGGTGGAAACAAAAGGTGGGAATAGTCTGTAATACAGGTTTATGTGGGAAGAGTCACGTTTCTCTCATCTCTTTTTACCCATAATTATGTTCATTAAGTGTCAAAAGTGTAAAGGACTTTAGGTTAGGTTAGTAAGTTACTAATAATTTCTCTAATACTTGGGAGTCAGGCACTTTATTAAACGCCCACACACCTTGATTAGCTGTCTAAGTAATAATAATACAATTTAAATAAGAAACGGATGGTATAGATGAATAAAGAATAATTTTCACTATACATTTTTTTTTTCACAGAGAGCAGAGACAGCATGTTTCCAAGAAGAGCGCGACGTGCTAGTCTATGGCGACAGGAGGTGGATAACGAATCTGCACTATGCGTTCCAGGATGAACACAATTTGGTGAGTCCATAAGTCTTTGGTTGAAATCCGGCTCGAAAGACCATTTTTAATGTTGTGAATTTGACGTAACTGACTTGAAGATTACCCAAGATCACAAGAACATCCCATTTGCAGTGTCCCGCAAAAAACTGATCCGTTTTAATTTGTAAAACTGTTTTGTCATTAAACTGGAAAGGACTGAAAGCACACTAAAGATTTTTGTATTTGTATCTGGATCAAACTGGACTAGCATAAAACGGGATTCTGTAGTGTGTACACACAAGTCCAATTTTGAGTGTTGTCGGTACACGCTAAGTTATCCATGAGTGCACACGCACACTACAATAATGCCGCTCGGATCAAACTCCCCGCACCCCGCACGACCGAGAGCAAACATTGGTGGGGCGCGTATACGTGGATGAAACCGTGAGAAAGGCCCTAAGGCAGTCGATATTCCAAGTTCTAAATTACTTTAACCTAATCTGCTATCTTTGTCTGTATCTGAAGCGCTAGATCGGGGTGCGGGGAGTCTGATTCCAGCAATTGTAGTGTGCGTGTGCACTCATGGATAATTTAGCGTGTACCGATAACACTCAAACATTAGCGGAAGAATGAAGGGGCGCGTCTTCGTGGATGAAACGATCTATACGTCTCGCATAGTGTATTCGTGCCATATGATAGGCAGTCGGTTTTTAGAGCTTAAATTCGTTTGAAATCATCTGTTATCTCTGTCTTCCAGTACCTAGTGATGGACTACTACTGCGGCGGGGACCTCCTGACTCTCCTGTCCAAGTTCGAGGACCGGCTGCCCGAGGACATGGCCAAGTTCTACATCGCCGAGATGGTGCTGGCCATACAGAGCGTGCACGAGCTCCGATACGTGCACAGGTAAAGTAATACTAGCGGCCGCCCTCGACTTCGTACGCGTGGATGCCATTTTACCCCCTTAGGGGTGGAGTTTCGTAAAATCCTTTCTTAGCGGATGCCTACGTCATAACATCTACCTGCATGCCAAATTTCAGCCCGCAGTGGTTTGGGCTGTGCGTTGATAGATCACTATGTCAGTCAGTCAGTCTCTCAGTCAGTCAGTCACCTTTGAGTTAAATATATTTAGATTCTTTTTTTTTATCCACAACGAGGAAGCTCTTGGCCTGTATCTCACCTGATGGTAAGTGACGATCAGACCGAAGGTGGAAGCGAGCTTCATCCGGAATCCTCAACCACGGAGGAACTGGCTATCTTACCTCTAACTGCCGGAATACAACAATGCTGTTAACATTATTGTTATGGCGACAGACTTAGGTAAGATGGTGGTAGCTAGCCAGGCGAACTTTGAACAAGCCCTACCACCAACCAAACCGAACAGAAAAATCTGCCCCCACTGGGAATCGAACCCGGGACCTCTGCGTCTGAAGCAGGTGGTCTTACCACAGAGACGGGCTTAGAACCTGCTCGATGAACCGACAACCTCAATAAGATATCGGGACTATTCCCACCTCTCGTTCCCACCGCTGCAACTCCTGTGTAGCCAGGATCTACAGCTTGACCTCCCAAAACCCAACCAGTGAAAGTCAAGTTTGTCCCAAGGGAAAGTTAAACTGGATTGAACCGGCAACGAATTTAATCAAAATATACGAGGAGTTCGAAATATAATAATAACTCTACAGGTATGTTTAGGCCCGATTCGACCAAACTTTTATCCGAGAATGACTCCTGGTATAACTGGCACATTGACAGTTTCAGTATGGAAATTATATCTTAACTGACGATTTATTCTGAGATTAATTAGTTAACTCTTGCTTGGTTGAATCGAGAAAATTTCGCCTTTATAATATTAGTAGGATAGGATCCACATTTTGCGCTGTGCACATTTTGCGAAGAGCACATTCTACGTCAGACCCTTAAGGGGAATCCAGTCCCTCGGAGACCGCGTCGTACTACGTAACATTTGTGGCAATAAGTATTTCGATCCCTTTGATCCAGATAAATCTGCGTAGCTATTTAGCAGTAAGTGGTGTTCACTTGAAAAACTCATTTTTATTATAAAGTTATGTTGTTTTTCAGGGATATAAAGCCAGACAACGTGTTACTAGATGCGAGCGGGCACATCAGGCTAGCGGACTTCGGGTCCTGTTTGCGGTTAGGGGATGACGGCAAGGTAAACTCATTTAACTAACATTATTTACAGTCAAGTTAGGTAGCATAACAGCCTATACTCTGGTCTGTGAGCACGTAGAATTTTATCCAATGACCCCAAGCTACCCATCCTTATCGCTCGCGCGTAATTATATTGCTGTCGTGCTCGCACACTCGCTGCGGGTGCCCGTCGCACAGTCGCGACAGCAACATAATTACGCGCGAGCGATAAGGATGTGTAGCTTGGGGTCATTGGACAAAATTCTACGTGCTCACAGACCGGGCTTAGCAGAAATGAAATAATCCTCAATCAATTTTTAAACTAAAGCTTAGCTACACATTAAAAGTAGACATGTTTATAAACAGGCTGACCGCACATAACATTGAAATGGGAAAATCTTTTGGTCATCATTTTGTGACATTATTACTTCTCAGTGAATCCTCAAGTTAAGGTGAATGTGGTGTCCAATGGCGGATGATGTTTGATTGTTTTTGTTTGTTATCAGGTACAAAGTAACGTGGCGGTGGGGACCCCAGATTATATTTCGCCTGAAATTCTAAGAGTGAGTAGCAATTTCTTGTTTTATGTTACAGCCAAAATTCGCCTGCAAATGCAATCATTGTAATGTAACCACTTATTTTTACAGGCGATGGAAGACGGGCAGGGTCGATATGGACCGGAGTGCGATTGGTGGTCGTTAGGTAAGATTCACTCATAATATCGATAGTTAGATAAATCGATACTGACTAGTCCGATTCTAACAGTTCATTTTCTCCTAGCAGACTAGACTTTTTATCTGCCGATAGTTGTCAGCTTCTAATTTTATGAGGTTTTGTCCTCCAAAAAGTGATCAATACGACTTCTGTAGAGTTTTGTTAAAGTAAATTACTAAAGTCCGTTCGCCGAGCACGTAGAATTTCGTCCAATGACCCCAAGCTACCCATCCTTATCGCTCGCGCGTAATTAAATTGCTGTCGCGACTGTGCGACGCGCGGCCGCAGTGAGTGTGCGAACGCGACAGAAATATAAAGGGTAGCTTGGGGTTATTGGACGAAATTCTACGTGCTCGGCGACCGGACTTTGTTAATGTTGATACTTATTGATATCGCGGATGACACTACGTTAGTAATAAAAATCTAAAGACAAAAATGCCTTAGAAAACTCATGTAAGGACGAATTAAGAAGAGTTGTAGAGTGGCTTGAACAAAATAAATTAAGGATAAATCTTCAAAAAACAAATGCTATTCACTTTAGAGCATATCACCAGGCAGATGCACCTTTGAGTATCAATTACAACAACACACCTATACAACAGGTCAACTCTGCAACATTCCTAGGCATAACCATAGATAAACATTAAACACTTGAATTGGAAAGAACACGTTGATAAATTATGCGCAAAACTTGACAAATTCGTATTCGCCCTGCGTCGCTTAAGATTAGTGGCCTCTCGAGACACTGCTTTATCGGCATATCACGGTTATGTGTCTTCAGTATTACGATACGGACTAATCATATGGGGACACTCTGTAGATGTACAACGAGCGTTTATGGTACAAAAAANTTTTCAGACGTTAGTGGTGTAGCGCAAACCCGTAAAATCACTTAAAAAAATTAAAAATGAGACAAAAAAAATGTCTCATAGCAATACGTCTGAAAATCTTTTTTATTAGTAAATTTTGGTTATTTGATGCGAACAAAACAATTTTCAGACGGAAATGTGAACGCATTAAATTTTAAGACCGTTTTGAAAATGTTAACAAATTTTACCGATCGGTATCATAGCAATATGTCTGAAAATTGTTGGACATGATAAAATAAGTTGTCCACATGTGCAAAAAATTTATATCAGACAAATTAAGTGTAGCACCTTCTCTATCAGACAACTTTTCGATACTCAGATATCATTTAAAAATCTTATTGAGGCATCTTGAATTTTCTGTTACAAACCAATGAATACGTTGCGACCCTGAATTTATTAGATGATAATTAACAAAGAATTTACCCGAAACCGTAACATTGAAGTTGAAGGACTGAAACAAATCGCACAAAAGGAAACTGGGATGAAGTTGAAAAAAAAAAACGGTTTATTCAAAGTTACAAAATATTCTCGTATTCAATCGCTGTCGGATTCGGAATCGTCGTCTTTGAAATCACTCTGGACGTCGCTCGGGAGATCTTCAACGTCCTCTTCTGTAAAATAAACATCGTACATATAATAGACAAGGGAGATTCTTGAATATCTATGAAGGCTGTAAATTAAAAAAAAACATTTAACAGAGGCGTCGGCCAGGCGACTCCGAAACGCTATTTTCGTTTTTGGGAGTATATGCTACACTTAAAGTGTCTGAAAACAGGTTTTTGGTAATCATGGCAGCAATACGAAAAGTTGAAATTTTTTTTTATCCGTATTGCTATGATACAGGTCGGCTAAATTTGTTGACATTTTCAAAAATGCGCTCAGGCTATATGCTACGCGCAAAATGTCTGAAAACAAACTTTTTCGTAATACAATTATAAAATCTATGTACATTTTCACTATCAGACGTATTGCTATAATACCGACTGTCTTTTTTTTTTGACACAGCAGAAATGGCCTCCCACGCAGTTGCTACACTTTCGACCGTTACTACACACCTAGTCGGGTTCAGAATCATTACAATCTAACGATTTTATAGGGTTTTTGCCGTATTGCTATGAGACATGGTTTTGGTCGTGGGCTCTCGTACTATAGGTATGTTTGATCTCGTGTAACTGTGAGTGAGTGTGCTGTGTGCATCTCTTTACCATAGCTTGTCAGGGAATGGAAGCAATTTTATTGTCCGTCTCTATTGCCGATGATGTCCCTAAAGGAAATTAATCCATACTAATATTATTAATGCGAAAGTATCTCTGTCTGTCTGTCTGTCTTACTTTCACGCCTAAACCACTGAACCGATTTTGATGAAATTGGGCATAGAGATAGTTTGAGTCCCGAGAAAGGGACTCAAACTATTTCTTTATCCCGGTTTTTGAAACAGGGACGCGCGCGATAAGTTTTTCTGTGACAGACAAAAATTTCACGCGGTCAAAGCCGCGGGCGAAAAGCTAGTTTAATATACAGTATTAATAGAGAAATGTAAGTTGACAAAGGACAATGTTCGTTCTCCATACATTGTTCNTGTCCTTTGACATGTTAGGTAAATTAGCTACTTATACCACAGAATAATAATAAGTACTACGTATAATTTTTCTAACTTATCTAAGACAATAATGAACTAAACTACGAGTAAGTCCTATGTAATAAAATACGTGAAATAATTTTATGATTCGGAATCGACCATCTACCCACTTCATGTTCTCACGAATTTACTGAAAAGTTACTAGGAAGTTATTATAATAATTAGGTATATTATTTTACTTAGGTGACCTGGCATTAAGTCCCCCACTATACAGTTTTATGTGCAAAATTATAAATAAATAAATAAGTTTATTTAAAAATTTACTGTTATGTTGAAATTTAGGAAAATTATGATCTTAATAAATTAATTTTAGCTTACAACAGTTTGCAATAGCTGAACAGACGGAGCGCCGTTGCCCGCCCGGATCGTCATGCGCAGTTCTAACAACGATGAAAACCAAGTTGCACATCTACAGCATGGTCGGAAGCATTAATATGACAAAAAAATTGATCCAGTTTTTAATTGATAGTGGCGCACGCCCTGTTCGTATTCCTGATGGTGATTTGCCACCAAATTTCATGGAAGAAGACATCTTCGCACCCTTAAACCGGCTTGCCGCTAGAAACAAGTGGTGGAAGCGGATGCCGGTAATGCCCGCGCGCGAACTTACCTCCACGTTAGAGACCGATAGCGGCAAATTCCAGATTTATCTCGACGTGCAGCACTTTGCTCCAGAAGAGTTATCGGTGAAGGTGGTAGGCGAGTATCTCGTGATTGAGGGGTGTCACGGAGAAAAGAAGGACTCGCACGGGATCGTGGCTCGTCAATTCATTCGCCGCTACCTACCGCCTGAGGGTTGTGACCTCGATGCGGTGGAGTCGGAGCTGTCTTCAGACGGGGTCCTGATTGTGTCTGCTCCGTTGACTTGCTCCGCGGCCAACGAGCGGGTGGTGCCGATCAAACGCACGGGGCCGTTGAAGACCCAGCCTGAGAAGCTGAAGTTGGTCGGCGATGGTGAGGCAGCCGAGCAGCCCGTGGGCGATCAGCCCGTCGAGCACCTGGTCGAGCACCTCGTCGAGTACGGCCAGTAAGGGCGTTGCATCGGGACGTCTGCCAAGCTATTTATAGCGAATGCACTATTTTCGTTATTTTTAGCCCCTTTGTCTCTACTATACCTACTATCTTGATATTTTGATAATGTTTTAACTTATTTTTTCTAAGCTAAAGTTATACATTCCATATTGCGATGTTTTAATTTAAGCTGTGCGTGTGTCTGTGTGCTTTTTCGTGAAATGCATATTAAAGTCTTAATTTAAGAATGTGATCTTTATTGAAATATACCTAGTCTAAGTCCCTACCAACCAACCTATAGTCAGACTTTAAATAGTAAATAATTAACTTACCTACCTATATCGGTCTAAAGATTGAAGTCTTTAAATAGAAGCAATGTATGCAATGAATGTAAGTTAGTACATTATACATCGATATTAAGTGAATCTTTGCATTAGAAGGGCTACGTAGCACATTCATAAATAATCTTATCAGCTTTGCAATTTATTTAATAGGGGAGGTCATTAAAACAAAGAGACACCAGATAATCTTAAAATAAAGGTTTATTCAACTGTAACTTAAATTAGGCGGTAATACCAGAAATAGCGAAGATACAAATCAGTCTTAAGAAAAAAATAATCAATATTTACAGCCGCACACTTTACTCCTCGAAATCTGGAGATCCTAGTTGCTTTTGCACCGGTCCTGTGTGAGTGATTGGTATGATTCGTTCACCAGTTGAGGGCATGGCGATCACTTTGGGAGCGGTGATCGTTAGCACACCATCAGACGAGAGTTTGGACTGCACAGTATCTGGTAAACACCCATCAGGAAGAGCATACCGCCGCATGAACTGCCTCGAGACGTATCCGTGGTCATCTAGTTTATCCTCGTGTTTCCCCTCCACTATTACTTGTTTGTTCAATACTTTGACACTGATTTCTTCCGGCAAGAAATGTTGAACATCCACATTCACTTGGAACGTTTCGTCGTCGCTACGAACACTGTCACTTAGCCTGCACTCGTTCATTTGGGCCATTAATTGGTCAATAGGTTCCATTATTTTTTCCCAAGACCTCATCATCCGGTGCCAAGGCTTGAAGAGTGCGTCGCGCTGAGCCAGGATCGGGGAAAAGTTGCGGAAGTCAGCAGACCAGGGATCCCTCATCATGGGACTCATGAAAAGTCTCTCGTCGAACAACGGTAGCAAAGACATTTTCACCACTTTTCGTTTTTCTTCAATTGCGCTGAATGTTTATCCGTATTTGACTGGCGTGACAGCGGTTCCAATCTGCTTATATACACCGAGTGGCTTACAGCTCCCCCTGTCGGAATATTCGAGACAATGTTTCGAGAAATGCCTAGATTCTTCTGATAATGCGCCATCTAGCGGTGGGTAGCAGTAGCGTTTGTATGAATCTAGTAAGAAAGAGCCATCTAGCGCCGAGCAGAAACATTGAAAATGTAAATTATGGCGCGTAATTTTAAAAACTTTGTAATGTCTTACCGTGGTCTTACTATGTATCTTCATGAAAATTATTATATTTGTTTTATATGGTGATTTTACACAATAGGTAATTAATTCACCTAGTGTTTTTTGTAATTCTTCGAGAGGTACTTCTTCGAATCGATTTGTTTTTATTTGAATTTCACCAATTCAGATAAAATTATATTATTATTATTTATTATTTTATCTTACGATTACAATGTATCAAATTAATATTCTGAATAACAGTCAATGTCTTCATAAGTACACACCTGTTATATCATAATTATTTATATTAAAAGGTACATTATTAAAAGTTCATTGACTTTTATGGCTTCAAAGCAAACAAATAAATATACAGGATGTTGATAATTTTATATCGATATGACTTTTTCTTCGTAGTTTCGTACTGTTCCTGGGTTTTGTTCTGAACCAAAGCGGCCTAATCGTAAGCAATAAGTTTTCCAGTTCTGAAATATGTCCTACTATGTTATGTGGTCCTATTAGTGTACCTACTAAGATTGGCCGCTACGTATCATCAACCAATTTATCTTCTAATCTGCTGACATCAAAATATCAAATGATTCACCAAGCGAATTCTGAACTAAGGCTGTCTCTAAACTCTAAACCAGTGTGTTGTGTGTAGAGATGTGCCGCTGAGAAAGTTCTCGTTCCCGGCAATATTCCCAGTGAGAATATTCTCGAGAACCGAGAACGCTCCCGGGAATGTTCTCAGTGTTCTCGACAGAATACATTTAGTTTTAATTTTAATTTTGTTGTTTATATGTGACTAGCTTTCTGCCCGCGGCTTCGCGCGCGTAGACTACATTATCTACATATTTTACGGAACCCTATTTTTTCCAAAATAAAATTTAGCCTATGTTACTCATGGATAAAGTAGCTTTCGAATGGCGAAAGAATTTTTAAAAACAGTCCAGTAGTTTTTGAGCCTATTCATTACAACCAAACAAACAAACAAAGTTTTCCTCTTTATAATTTAGTGTAGATGTTACAGGAAATGTATGAATTCTAGGAATTGTATACTATTCCTAGGAAATGTATACAATTCCGAAGCTATTTAGGAAATGTATAAAATATTGCTTCAGAGATTTTTTAATACGCACATATCCTAGGACATGTATACTTTTCCTAGGAATTTTATAGAATTCCAATATTGTATTAGGAAATGTATAAAACTAAGCGGCACAAGCGCGGTCATGTGATTTAGTGCCCCTCAGTACGCCTAAAATTTTATTTAGACAAACCACATTGACCGATAGGTACTTTTAACTCACAACTATTATTGTTTAGCCTGAAAGTTGTTTTCGCACTATTATTTTGACTGAAAAAAATATTTGCCTATTGGCATACCTTTCGTTCGGCATCACGCATATTACGCTGAAGTATTGGAAAACCCTAATTTTAACATATCTTTTATTAAACTATTATTGACATGAAGGTTTTAGTACTCCTGTAGCTGGATAACAAAGTCTCGGTTAGGTTAGGTTAGACTTGCGACCTTGTCACATACACAGCGGCCGCGGCGCGGGAGCGCCATTTGAGTTTCGGAAAAAAAAAGAAATCTTAATTACATTTCCGATTGCTGTTTAGGAAATGTGTAAATTTCCTAGGAAATGTGTCTAATATAATTTACATCACACATTTCCGGGTGATTTTAGGACTTATACACAAATCCTAGGAATTGTATACAATGACGGATTTCATACATTTCCTGTAACATAGATATTATTTGTAATGTTTCAATGTTTTATTAACTGGCCACTAGACATCTATACATCTTACTAGGACAGCATACCGTAGATAATGTTTATAATTAAATACCGTATCAGCGGACTAAGTATTGACTGGTTGTTTGTCGCGGTCATAGTGTTATCATGGACCGCTTGCGATGCGTGTGCGCAGCTTTCGCGCTGCTGTTGATTCGGTAAATATTATTTGTATAAATAGTTCTAATTACCCCAAGGCCGTTTTTACTTTGTAAGTACACATAATCACAAGGCCCTTGTGTCATACTCGTATAACTTAAGTAAATAAAATTTAAGTGTCTGATATAATATAAGAACAATAGTTTTTTTATCAGTATATCACACCGACAATTAATGCTCAAATTGACCCAGGGAATTAACTGATATCTATTGGGAAGAATTTTCAGATATGTTTTAGGTGCTTACATAATTTTTATTTTACTCACCATTTTTTATTTGTAGCAATCAATCAAATAACGAAATAAAGTTGCCTAACGTAACCTTACCTACTCTACTTCAATGTATAGTAAGTAGTTAAGTGTAAGTGTTTAACTATACGTTTCTTTTCCAGAGTATCGTGCGAGCCTGCGGACAAGATATGTTTCCCGAAGAACTTTATGTTTGGGGTGGCAACTGCCTCTTACCAGATTGAGGGAGCGTGGAACGTTTCAGGTATTTCAGTATTTCTTAAGCCTTCTTCATTTAAGCACTTATGTGGTCTAGTGGTCACCTGCTTCAGATCTAGAGGTCCTGGGTTCGATTCCCAGTGGAGGCAAAAAAATCTGCACGGATTGGTTGGTTGTAGTAGAGCTTGATCTAATCCCGCCTGGCTAGCTACCACCTTGTTACCTTAATCAGTCGCCATAACAACAATGATAACAACAGCATTGTGGTCGGGAGTTGAGGATTTAGCTCGTTTCCACCTTCGGCCTAGTCACGACTTTCCATTAGGTATTATCTACACTAATATTATAAAGAGGAAAACTTTGTTTGTTTGTTTGTTTGTTTAGTTGTAATGGATAGGCTCAAAAACTACTGGACCGATTTTAAAAATTCTTTCACCATTCGAAAGCTACATAACTCACGAGTAACATAGGCCTAATTTTATTTTGGAAAAAAATAGGGTCCCGTAAAATATTTGGGATTTTCATAAGACGTGGAAAAGCGCCATCTATCGTCATTGCTTAAAATCTTCTTGCGCCTGACAAACATTTTTGAGGTACGTAAATATTCATGAAGGCAAAGCTGTCAAACGCCATCTATCGACATCATTAGTAAATTAGTAACTAAATATTACATGCTATGTGTTTAATACCTCCATGCTCAGCATACTGGCTGATTCGATAATTTTTTATAAAAAAAGAAAAAAAGGAAAAAAAGCTGTCAATTGTTTTTACGTCTTCGCAGCTCGGCTTTTTGTCTGTAGCTCAATACAATTTTTCTGCGTCGTATCAAATCAAATATTATCATCGTCGTTTTCTTAGACCTACTGGTCAAACGTACTCCATATTTTTGTGGTCATTTCGAGCACGAATAGCTCTTTGGATTCTACAGTCAATAAAAAACGCTCATCGAAAACTCTAAAATTTCCAGGTAGCACTTTTTAGCACGCCATTGTTAATTTCGTAAGTCGAAAATTCAATCGTTATTGTATTACTTTTACGTTATTTAAACGTTGACTCAAGCAAACACAGTTTTACTTGTCAATTATATCGTAAAATCGTAATAATAACTCGTCATTTTACACACATTTCCATCGTTGATAACTTAACATTTTGTCGTATTAGCAATATCCAAAATGGATGATGATTCAAAGTTAACTTTACTGAATACTCGTCGGGAGTATGTATTTCGTGAGATTCAAATATTGTACGATTTATCTCAACAAATTACGACAGACAGGAGCAAACTTGCGATATTTAAAAGTCGTTTCAAGCGCATAGATGCTATTCGAACTGAATTTGTCGAAGTTACAGACGAAATAAACCGGTTAATTTTAACAATTAATCCAGACACACAAATTGATTACAAGAAGGTAGAATCATTTGATTTGTTGTATTATTCCGTTGTTTCGGTGGCTGACGAGGTGTTGCCGTCGTTAGCGTCAAATTCTGCCGCGGCTGCGAGTAAGGTCAGTGACCCCGCGTCACCAAAACAATGTCCTCAGGTTCGTTTGCCAAAAATCGACCTATCAAAATTCGATGGCAATCTTGAGTTATGGCGAACATTTTATGACACATATCTTTCTTTAATTCATGAAAACGCAAACCTCAGTACTATTGAGAAATATCATTATTTGCTTTCTTGTCTCACTGGATCTGCATTGTCAACGGTTAAAAGCATACCAGTAATTGCTGATAATTATGAAATTGTCTTCAATGCATTGATTGAAAGATATTAGAGATGAAACGGATATCCGGTAACTATCCGGTAGGCCGGATATCCGGCCTAAATTTACTATCCGGCCGGATACCGGATAGTAACTCACTATCCGGCCGGATACCGGATATTAAAAAACTACGACAATTTCCTATTAATAAAATGAAATACATTAATCTTTGAGGTAAACATCAATAAAATGGCTTATTATAATGACAGCTTTTATTTAAAGTCCAAAAAGTTACAGAAAAACATATTAAGGCCTTTAAAAAAACCAATTTCTTTTTCTGGGCTATTCACTATTATGACGAATACATAAATAGTAAATATCTGTTAAGTCGAAATATTGCCAAATAAAATAGGCGATCTTTTTTTCACTGATGGTCTGATGTCATGATGCAGTTCAGTCAGTCAGCAAGTAAACTATAATAATAATAATTTTTTTTATAATGTATTTTTAGTTTTTCTATAATTTACATTGTAAAAAAAATATTAAAAATAAGAAGGAAATTGAATAAAGAGATAATAATAATAAAATTTATTTGCTTAAAATGTGGTTGACATAGGTGTTACAATTATTACAAAATATAATTTATAGTACTCACATTTTACCAATATTATGGCATGCAAAAACTATGTACGAGTAATAACAGCACTTTTCAAA